AGCTCAACTGAAAGCAACAAAGTTTCAATTATAGAAGGTCAGTAAACCCCAGATACCTGCTTTCAGCTGGCCGTGGCCACGGAGCTGGAGTGAGCAGGAGTATTCCCTCCTGGCCTCGACGGCTGGCTCTGAGCTCTTCTCAAAGCTACAAAGTTTCAATTATAGAAGGTAAATAAATCCGAGAATAAAAAGAAAGAAAGAAATAAAGGAGAGGGTGGGAGCCTCCATCAGAGGACCTGGCCAGCCTGAAAACGGCCCTCAGCCCCTCACTCAGACTGGCAAGGCACCCTAGTGAGACCCCCCACCCTAAAGGGGGTGTGGCAAACCTGAAAACAGCCATCAGCCCCTCCCCCAGCCTAGCCAAACCTCCATAGTGTGATGGTCCCCACTGGGGGGGCGGGGCTTGATCAGACTGCAAACAGCCATCAGCCTCTAAGCCAGGCTGGCCAGGCACCCCAGTGGGGACCCCCACCCTGAAGGGGGTGTGACCAGTCTGTAAACAGCCATTAGCCCCTCACTCATGCTAGCCAGGCACCCCAGTGGGGACCCCCACACTGAAGGGAGTGTGACAAGCCTGCAAACACCCAACAGCCCCTCACTCAGGCTGGCCAGGCACCCCATTGGGACTCTCACCCTAATCTGGGACACCCTTCAGGTCAAACTTCCGAGCCCCCACCATTCTCCAGACCTCTATCCTATATAATGAAAGGGTAATATGAAAACTGACCCTAACAGCAGAATGACTGTGAATGTCCGGTCACTATGACACACACTGACCACCAGGGGGAAGACGCTCAGTGCAGGAGCTGCCCCTTGGTGGTCTGTATGCTCCCACAGTGGGAGCTGTGCTCAGTCACAAGCCAGGCTAATGGCTGCCAGTACAGTGGTGGTGGAAACCTCTCCCGACTCCTCTGCAGTGCTAAGGATGTCCAACTACAGCTTAGGCCTGCTCGCTGCTGGCAAGAGGACATCCCCCCAGGGCTGGCGGTCTGCCAGAGGGCTGTCTGACTGCCAGCTTGGGCCCGGTCCCCCAGGGAGTGGACCTAAGCCAGCAGGTGGACATCCTCCGAGGGGTCCCAGACAGCAAGAGGGTATAGGCCAGATTGAGGGACCCCACCAAGTGCACAAATTTTTGTGCACTGGTCCTCTAGTCTATAATAATAAAAGCGTAATATGCTAAGTAGACCAGAGGTCTGGACGAAGCTGGAGCTGCCAGGGAAGCCCAGGTCCCAGGTGCCTGCCGGCGGCGGGAGGGAAGCCCAAGTCCTATGTGCCAGAGGGAAGACGAAGCCAGCAGCCAGGAGAAGGCAGGCCTACTTATACGAACTTTCATGCATTGGGCCTCTAGTATACTATATATATATAATTGATTTCACAGAAGGAGAGAGAGAGAAACATCAATGATGAGAATCATCGATTGTCTGCCTCCTACACACACCCTCACTGGGGTTATAGCCTGCAATCTTGGCATGTGCCCTGTCCGAGAATCAAGCTGACCTCCTGGTTCATAGGTTAATGCTCAACCATTCAATTCAGCATGTGAATTGTGCTGCACATATAAGAGCTTCAGCCTTTGGGTGGCGGTGGAGATCCCACATAGCCTCCTGATGAAATGCTGTCTAAATTGAGACAGTGGAAGTCAGGAGCCTTT